CTTCATCTTTTTTCTTCTTTTCACTTCCATTCCTTCCTTCCTTCCTTCCTTCCTTCCTTCCTTTCTTCTTCTCTTATCTTCTCTTTTTTTTTTTTAAAGGGAAACGAGAGGTGAGAGGAGGAGAAGGAGGAGGAGGAGGAGGAGGAGGAAGAGAATATTTTTTTCTTTCTTTCTTTCTTTCTTTCTTTCTTTTTTTACTCTTCCTCGGTCAGTACTTCGAATCAATTCTAAACGGCGTCCAGATAGTGACGTAAGATCTTCAAAGGAACGAGAGAGGCGTCAGGTCCAATCTCTGGCATTAGCCTCGGTACTCGTGTGTGCTTTACACGGCTGTCATACCTGTTTGCGCAGAGGCATCGGTACTATCTTGCCCACGTTCACCATTACCATCATCGTCTTCGTCATTATTATCATTATCAGCATCACCATCGTCACCGTCACCGTCACCGTCACCGTCACCGTCACCGTCACCGTCACCGTCATCATCATCATCATCATCACCACCACCATCACTAGCTTCGTCTACTTGATGGTTCACCAACATCCTTTTCTCTCTCTCTCTCTCTCTATATCTCTATCTCTCTTTCTATTATAGCTTTTATCCTTTCTCTTCCTTTCCTAGTCCTCCTAGTCTACCTTCTTCCACTTTTTCATAGACATATCCTACACACACACACACACACATATACACACAGAGATATTACATATTTAGATATGTTAGTAGAAATATCACGTTTTACGTTTATGCCAGATATATACATACATACATATATACTTATATACACACATACATATATATTCATACGATCATCCCTACGGAGGTAGGTGGCCGACACGTTTATATTATCTACATACATACATGTACGTGGGTGGCTTTCTTATATCGTGACGACCTCGAATAATATCAACCTTCTCTTCCAGGATCTACCGTCTGAATGTGTGTCCTCGTAAGAGTTTTACTTAGTTTGATATACAACCCACCAATCTTCTCAACTCGCGGTTAGGCTCGCTGAAATGATCTTAAGTTTCTGATGGGTTAGACGTAGAAAGATTGATCGTAAGCAGACATTATATAACGTCGTATATTCGATTAATTGTGGACCTCGAATGACCTCATCTTGGCAATAACCACCTGCCAGTGATGGCACGCTGCAGTAGGCACACGTTTATTGCGTAGGCCAACGATGACCTTCGGTAATGATCCTTGCGATTTGTGGTGAACCAGTGTTTCTTAGACACTGTTTTTTTGTTTTCTTTTCTCTATTTTTCTTATTTCTTTATCCCTCTTTTTTCTTTTCTTTTTTTTCCTTGTCATTATTTCCTTTTTCATTTTTCTATCGTCGAATCGTCCGACCAATCGATCGTCATCATCATTATTATCATCATCATCATTATTATGCAGCATCGTTGTCACTGGTGATTACACAAGATCGAGAAGTCTTTTCCGTTACATTCTCGATCACACCAATTGTTAAACTCCTAACAATCTTTTTTTTTTCTTTTTTTCACGATTCTCTCTGTTTTCTCTCTTCCTTTTTTCCGTGCAAATTCCACGGAGATCGTACGGAGGACACCGGGTATATCGAGCAGGCAACGACCTTCAACGAAGTCTCTCTCTCTCTCTCTCTCACACACACACACCCTCTCTCTCTCTTTCTCTCTCTCTCTCTCTTTCTCTTGGTCGACCTCAGCAAGGATACTCGTAATCTGCGGTGCATCGGCCCGCAGCTCGTCAGATCGCTGACTTTACGTTTCGCACCCACCTAGCAACGAAGACGTTAGTTCTTTTTTCTGGATAACAAAAAGGTGCATAAATAGGATAGGTAGAAGATAGAGATAAAAAGAAAATATAGAAAGTTGGTGGGGGGGTTAGAAAATCTCTACTAAAGTGGGGGATTAG